GGAGAGACAAGAATGCTGTGGCTTGCACTGTGGTTAAACCACATTACATAAACTGTTTCAGTTTTTTAACTAAAAACTTTGATTAAAAGAAAATCTGTCACAGAATCAAGAAAAACTGTATTTTTGTCTCAAGAACTGCAATTTTTCCCATATGATTCCCATGGATCTTGACCAGATGTAGTTTCCAGATGAATGTTTACCCTTGTTTCTTGTTTCTAACTGCGACAACAAAGCTGTTACTGGTTTCACCTTGTTAGCGTGTGTGTATGTAAGAGTGTGCCTGTCGTCATGGTGAAATCGGATATTGGAAACATCACCAGTGCAGTTCTGAGGAGTTCGGCAGGTGCATATGTGGCTGTTTATTTGCTTGTGTTTTTCAGTATAATAAGAGCAGCAACTGTGGAAAAGTACAGTCTGGAAACTTTATACGTGTCTCTTAGAGACCAAAACACCAGTTGAGCTGGAAGATTGATATCCAGGTTGATTGATGTTCAAATACATAGTGTCCAGCAAACCCAATGCATCGCTAACCATCCATGTTATACATTTTAGTTTCTTTTTCAAACTGTTTTTGATTAAATTTTACAGGAGGGGTTGTTTCCACACTGTCTTTGTGTCTTTAGATCAAAAGGTGGTCCTCTACATACAGTTCAGCTAAGAGGTTTACATTTTGGGATTTTTATGCTGAATTTAAACTGTTCATTTTTCATTTTGCAATGAATTTTGGTGATTTTTAAAAACAAGACTTGAATTAATAAAAATAGTCCTGGCTTAACTCAAAAGTATACATACAAACTCGAATATAAACATACACTCACTATTATTTAGATAAAAGCACCTTTACCTTAAAACATATGTTTATTATGCTTCTATACTTATGCTTTATTTTCTGTTGTTCTATTAAAGTCCCGTTAAGCACATTGGATTGCTATGTGTATGAATAACGCTCTATATATAAACATGCTTTGCACATAGTGGGCTTTTAAGCATTATCTACAAATGTTCCAAAACGTTAAGGTCAGAGAAGGTGCTATGATCAGATGAGACTAAAATGTAACTTTTTAAAGTTACATTTGGGGAGTTGCTCACATGGCTTTTGGCAAACTCATAACATGCCTTCTTATTTTTAACACTAAATAATGGCTCTTTTCTGGCCACTCTTGCATGAAGTCCAACTCTATGGACTGTACAGCTTGTTGTGTTCCTATAGACAGATACTCCAGTCTCTGCATTGGAACTCAGCAGCTCCTTCAGGGTTACCTTTGGTCTCTTTGCTGCCCCTCTGATCAATGCTCTCCTTGCCTGGCCTGTGACCTTTGGTGGGCAGCAGCCCTTTCTGGACAGGTTTGATGTGGTACCACGTGCTTTACATTTGAAGATGATGAATTTCATGGGGCTCCGGGGGACGGCAAAGATTAGGATATATTTTTTTATAAACACACAGTGATTTGTTCTTCTCAACAACTATGTCCCTGACCTGTTTGGAGAGCTCCTTGGTCTTCATGGTTTGATGCCTCTTCCTCAGTGGTATTGCATCCTCTGGGGCCTTTCAGAAAATGTGTATTTATACTGATAGATCATGTGACAGATTGCACACAGGTGGACCTTATTTCCCTAATTGTGTGACTTTTGAAGGTAATTGGTGGCACCAGACGGTTTTAAGGGCGTCATAGCCAAGGGGCGGGGATATATACAGACATGCCAATTTTCATTTTTTTTTCTTTTTTAATTCTCAGCCAAAAGGTGTACATATTCTCATTTTGCTATTATTATTATTATTAAAAATAAGATTAAAAAACATTTAAACTACAGATCGGAATGTAACAAAATAGGTCAAAAGCCAATGGGATTAAATACTTTTGCAAAGCACTATATGTATACTTGATTCTGTGTATATGAGAGAAAGTCCACACTTTTAAACCTTTGCAAAAGTTTTCAAACTGCTCTCAAAAGTGACTAAAGTTTTGAGTTATGTCATCAGTTCGTGCAGAAAGTCCAAGCTTAATATTACATTTATGCCGCCAATAGCTGTATATAAATGTTTGACTTTAACCTTGCCTTTTCTAAGAGGAACAACATCAAAGTTGATTTTTATTACTGCTACAGATGTGTGGATGTCTGGCGGTCTGTCTCACAACTTGTTAGTACTGCAAATGCTGTTAAAGGAAATTCACATGTGCATTGCTGGCAGTGAATAACTTCCTGCTATGTCTTTATTAAAGAGCAGCACAATGATGGTTAGGGTGTCTAATTGCTTAAACTTAATACTATTTGTTAAACATGTAAATGTTTGCTTCCTCCTTGCATCTATGCTGCCCACATGGGAGGATATTTAAAAATCATTTAGGCATGTCTTTTTTGATGTGAGGCCTCCTGTCATTTGCATAGTTCTGGCCTCATCTTCCGGGATAAAAGCCCCAGGGGAATTTGACCGGCTTTCATGAGTCCGAGGGTTTCAGTAACTTCTCAGAAATTAAAAGCAGCAGCTATTTTTAAAATGAGTGGGAAGTTACTGTGCTGAGATATGATAACCTGTAAGGAAGAAGGCTGTTATCATAAAATAGGAACATTCATGTGGATTGGGAAAGAGTATATAATTTTCCTGAGGAAAAAATATACTGCCATCATATCACCTTTTGGCTGAGATCGCTGGGTCTTCAGGAGTCTGACTACAAATTTAAAGCAACATGTTTTCTCCTCCTTAACATCAAACAGTGTAGCAATGGCAACTAATTCTACCTGCACACACAGACGCTGCTATATTTATCCTCATAAGTTGCTAAGATGAGTTTTAATCAAACTGTGGTCTCTGTTTAACCCCCAAATGCCAGTCTAACCTTCAAGAGCTTAATGCACCGCCTGGTGTGCAGATAGATTGTGCAAATGTCTGCTTCTCACTCTCGATGAATCAAAGGATTAGATAGGGGAGCTGTAAGCTGCAACTTGTCGTGTGCGAGTATAGCTGACGATATTAAATATGAGTCAGATGGGTGTTGAACAAACCACCTCTAGAGTCCAGAGTATTTCTCACGACTCCACCTCAAAGCTTTGGATGTCTCAGTGTTTTCATAGTGTGCCTCATTCAGACCTGTGGTTGCATTTTAATATTGAAAAACCATCCCGTTCACCATGATTGACTCAAACCCAAAATTCCTCCTCTGTTTGTGTCAGCTTTACACCTAAAAGTTTGGAAAGTAATACAGGCAAAATATACAGAAATGAAAGCAAATTTTAAAATACATTTGAAATTGTTGGCTTTGCTTTCTCACTACTGAAATGTTGAGCCAATCAATGTGTTTTTCTTTCTACCATTATTTAAGATGCATTTTATGTGCTTTAATAATTCAGTTCTAAATAATGTTTTGTTTGTGTGAGTTTTTAAATATAAAGATAATTAGGTGATTTCTCATACTTACTTTTCTCATACTTACTTACATACGTACTTTTCCACTTTCTTGTTTATTTAGTATTTTGTGTTAGTGTGCAAACCAGACAAAACCGTCAGCCAAATTAACAGACAGACTCTGGGGCTAATCTCCTTGTTCCACGTCGGATGAGAAGATTTGAAGAACAAACTGTCTTTCCAAATGGTTTGAGTATCTTGTGCAAGCTTTTGGGTAATGAGTCTTTTGTTAATGGATGTGGAACCTAGCAATTTTGGTAATTTTAACAGTCTTTTTAAAACACACAGGCCATAAAAGGATAAGCTTTGTAGTGTTTCATGTCATTGTGGGTGAAATAATGTTCTGGAGAATTCCCTGTGTTTCCTTGAACACATTATGAAAGTGGTTGCAATTTAAAACTTCCAGTACTTCTAAAACCGCCTCTTGGCAGCGTGGCGTATTTGTCTCACACTGAGTCAAACACACACACACACACACACACACACACACACACACACACACACACACACACACACACACACACACACACACACACACACACACACACACATACACACACACACACACTCAGAGAATCAAGAGCTTAGCTCATCTTTAAGTTTACATTTGAAGTCTTTGTTTCACATGAAAAGATAGGACAGTATCTTAATCATTTACCTTAAATATTTACAACAATCTGCAAAAGTTCTGAACCCTCATTTATTTAGATTTTGCTTCCAAGTAGTCAAACTTTGTTGTAATCTTTTAAAATAATGTTGGCTAATATTTCTTGAACACTTTTTTTGATCAAAACAAACCCTTTATATTACATCTCTCTCTTAAAAAAACCCCCCAAAGGACAGGTTAAGACAGAACATGGGAAATATGTTAATCGATGTTTGCTTGAAAATCATTTAACCACATTTTTCTGGTTTCACACAGTGGCAGTTTATGACAAGGGCCACAAAAAGAGTGGCCTATTAGAAAGAGAAACACACAAGCACCAGATAAAATAACATAACTTATCAATCAGTTCCTTGAAAAACTTTTCAATTGCATTTTGCATATGCCATCAATGGGAACTTGGTGCTTGATGTCTGCTGCTGAGTATAGCCAGACTGCTTAAAGTGCTTTGAGAGGGATGGCAATGCATTTTATCTTACTCCTGAATTTAGATGATTTCCTGAATTTTGATTGGTTTGGAAGGGGGCAGAATAAGGCACTCACCCAGGTCGCCATTTATGCAAGAACAGCTACTGCCTCCAAGTTATTGGGGAGCCCATGAAAATTGTTGAATAAAACCATATCTGTACTGACAGCCCGGAACCAAAGACTTCAATGATCTGAAGCCCACCCATTCATTTTTTATACCCGCTTCTTCCGCACAGGGTCGTGGGCTACGGGTGAGAGGCGGGGTACACCCTGGACAATTTTCCAGTCCTTTGCAGTGCACCACAGAGACACACAGGATAAACAACCATGCACACACCAATTCACACCTAAGGGCAATTTAGAGAGACCGATTACTGTCATGTTTTTGGTCTGTTGAAGGAAGCCAGAATACCTGGAGAATATCCACGCATGCATGGGGAGAACATGCAAACTCCACGCAGAAAGACCCTCAGCCGGGAGTCAAACCCAGGACCTTCTGGCTGCAAGGCAACAGTGCTACCAACTGCACTACTGTGAAGACACACAACCTGAAGTTTTTTTTGACAAATATAGGTCTAAAGATATGAAGGCAGGAGGCCCAAAGTTGCCTTACATTTTAAAATATGCCAGTTCTTTAGTCTGCAAGTGGTCATGAAACACTGGTGTAAATTTTGTGATGAATCACAAAGCTCCAACACAAACTGCGTCCAGAGCATGCAGGCTTTGTGAAGAAGAAGTCAAATAATCTACATAATCATAATCCATTACAGACATGGAGCAATAAGAATCTTATTTTTGACCTCACAAAACAAGGTTTTAGGTTCCAAAAGGTTTTATCAAAGCCTTTCAATGTTTTTCAGAGTTATTCCTTGGACATTCATTTTCTGCATCACTCTTTACAATAAGAACAAGCTAGCATTATAATAGACCTCAGTTAGCAATCTTAAAAGATAAATAAGTCATATGAAAATAGTCAGATCTGACATGTATGAAGCAGTCAATGGGAAAGAAGAACTGTAAGACATTCAGAAAGCTTGAAGGACTGTTGGTCAGTGTGGGTTACATCACAATATCACCCTACTTTGGTGAATGTTTAAGAAAGACCTGGAAAAAAACAATATCTAATACATTTAGTTTGAAATAAATTAATGTTTAAAGCAGAGAAAGCCACCCTGTCTTTGCAAGACTGCACACTGTTCTTCAGATATCTCATAATTCTATTGTGTATCTGCTTTGCATTTCATTGGTGTTTGAAGACTCGTGGCTTTAAGTAATAAGATCCAGAATCCATAATTGCATTTTTACATTTCTGATCTCAATCTAAGTCAGGCTACCACAGATTTTTTTTTTTTTTATTTCCAGTGGATTTTGTGTGCCCTGGGTGAGCCCCTTCTTCACGCTTGAGGGAAAAGAAAAAAACGACATAACAGAACATCAGTCTCAATGTGTCTTTCAAGCAATCTCAGATTTTAGGTTGGATCAATCTAAGCATTTCAGATTACAGAAAAATGCAGTCTTGACTCTTTAAAACTGTGGAATTACCCTTTAATTTCACAGAATCAGAAGTTGCTAACAAGATACAAACCTTAGCCATTTCAGCAACATTTCCCCACAGTGTTTGCACAGTACACAACAGAGGGGCATCCACTTACCAATGCCTTTGACATGCCAACAACCAAAAAGCTTGTTGTGGGTGCAAGTGAAAGATGTTTCACAAAATATACTTTATCTCTACACATTTAGACCCATCTAAAACACTTTTTGACATGTCAACATACGTACCAAGATGCATAGTGCGTCAGCAGCCTCAAGATGCTGTCCTTTCTGATGTTCTTTCTGTAGTTCTCTGTGTAAATATAAACAGTCTATGTGGTGGAAACCATTGGTCACCAACTTTAGTCTTTGTGAGTTTGTCACACAATCAAAGTTAAAGTCTTTCTTGATTAATGATCACAGTCCTTTATAAATTAATAAAAATACTAATACAAACCTTAACCTTGGAACATAATTAAAAGTGCACTTTATTTAAAATCGTAATTTAGTTTTAAAGAATCCTTCTCTTCATGTGCAAGACTTTAAAAAGAAACAATATAACTTGAAGCTCAATAATTTCTTCTTAGAAACCAAAAACTTTGTGAAGAGACTACTTAAGAAACCTTGGATTAAAAACATAGAGCTTCTTTTTACGACTTTTAATTCATGACATAAATCAGTGACACAGATAATTTATTTTGTGGTGGATGACTTATGAAATGACAACAGAATGCTGAAGCAGCTTTTCAAGACTGAGGTTGGAGCCATTTGTGTTTCTTTAGGCACGGCCAGGCCTGCATGCACGCGTGTGTTTAAAACCCTGTGGGTGTGTGAAACTTACTTTAGAGCGGATTCTAAGTCACAACTACATTCTTAATCTTCTACTTAATGTACACTTCATAGGCTTATTTACCTCATGTCTGGTGTAATTACAGGAGGACAGCTTTGCTTCCCTCTTATGTCGACAGTCCCTGTATTAAAATCTGCGCTGGCAGCTCAAGCTGCCGACTGCATTACAGCTTCCAACATGATGTGTGGGCTGAAATCATGATATGTGGTTTGAAACTGTGATGCGTGGTTTTGAACGGCTGCACAAAATATGCCCCGTCTTTAGTGACACTGTGGCAAACAGACCTAGTTTTTCTCTCTCTCCCCTGACAAATCATCTGAAATAGGGATAAGAGGAAGGTTGGGCGGAAAATGTGGGGTGATATGTTCCTCAGCTGATTTGATTTCAGCAGATAATCTGTGAACAGTCCACCTCATCAAAATTACGTTATGTCTATCTAATTTTCTGATTCAAAAAGGAAAACAAAGGGGTATACACTGCATAAAAGAAAGAAATGCCTTGCTTTAAGCATATTTATATGCTTGCATGCTTTTGTTCGTGATTATGTTTTAAACAATACAAAAAACTGTCATCAGCTCCCTGATGTGTAAGGCAATACATAACTGTGTGTCTGGTTTAAATAAATTGGGAATCTCTGGGTAAAAAATACATTCCTATCAAAGAAAATGTAATTGGCTCGGTGTTTTGGTTTGGAGGATTTCCTTAAGAGGTTCAGTGAAATCAGATCTGTATTTGGTTCGGAAAACATCAAGCCATTAGAAACAAAATCTTCTTGTGTTTGTAAATGTCTTTCACGATGGCTCCAAATTGTGATTATTCTTCTTTGCTATTTCTTTTTGTTTGTCTTTGCTTTTCTTTCCCATTTGTTTGATCCTCTCTCGCAAAGTGGTAAAATATTCTTTGTACTGCAGAGAGAAGAAACCATAAATCAGAACTAAGATGTTCCATCAGTCAGAAAACGAGCTCATCTTCATAGCTAAACACACATACATGGACAGTAAATATGCACTGAATGCACAAGCACAAATTAGGAAATAAATATCTACAAATGGGTGCTTTCGGAGAAAGACCAAAAAAATCAGCTGTTTAGAACTTGTTGCAATTGATCGTAGATTTCATAAAAATCCCAGAGCAAGATACTGCCATTACCATATTTTAACATGGGTGTGTGCTGTGTTGTTTTTTTTTGCCAAAAATGCTTACGGAACTATGGCAATTGTTAAATGTATACTTTTATTGGGCTTTATCTAGTCCGAGCACCTAAACGCTACATTTAGTCATCCACCCATTCATTCACACACATTGCATCCACAGCTGCACTGGGGCCGACTGAAAGAGGTGAGGCTGCCATTCAATCAGCGGCACCGAGCCCTCTGACCACCATCATCAGGCAAGGAGGGTAAAGTGTCTTGCCCAAGAACACAACCACTGAGACAGATTGCAACCCACCGCTTGCAAGACGAACACCTACTACTGCCACCACCATTGCCCCACCAGTTGAAGTTCAAGAAGTTCAAATTTGGCTTCATCAAAAAATGACAAAACTCTTTAACAAAGTTCTGGAAGATTTATAAACCAGGCATGGGTGTTTTGTTCTCTTTTCCTTTCTATCGATAAACTCATGCAATCCACTGATCCAGCAATCCCCAAAGGTGTGCAGTCAGGTTAGGAAAACTTTCCCATCTTTGCAGTTTCTCAATTTATCTAAACATTTATCCCCCCTCCACCTGAGATTTCTGAGGTATTTTCATAAAACAGGCGTAACCCACTTTAAATTTCCTTTTGAACAAAACAAACTAGCGTTATTTGAGGAGCTATCCTCAAAGTGTACTCTTCCCAAAACTGAAGTCCAAGCATTTGTTTCAATAGAATTTCCCCACAACCATCCTAAGTTGATCTTGGCTTATAGCCATCAGGCAAATATGGTGAAGTGATTATAAATCCTTGGTGGTGCTGAAGAGAGGGACTCCTTCAAGTCCAATTAAACAGCTGTTTGACCTGCTGCTGCTGCTGCCAGGGCTTCAGAAAACCCAGTTGAATACTTTTACATTTTGCTCTGTGAATATATATATATATACAGGGGTTGGACAATGAAACTGAAACACCTGGTTTTAGACCACAATAATTTATTAGTATGGTGTAGGGCCTCCTTTTGCGGCCAATACAGCATCAATTCGTCTTGGGAATGACAT